GCTAATATAGGTTGGAGGGAAGTAGATTTATTGAGATTTTTCAGTATTTACTACTTTGCCTAAAGATCTGTGATTGGCGACCAGGAATATTATTTTGAGGAATTATCTTGCAGATGCTTGGGGGCTTGGGTTTTCTTCGCTGCTGATTAAACCTGGTCAGCTCTTCTATCCAGAGTTGATGACCTCAGGAATTGTCATGAGTTTCTATTTTAGTTGCCTGTAATACATGTTGACAATATCTGCTGGGTGAGATCTTTGGCTACTTAATCATATTTGTTGCTCCTTTACCCAGTTCAAAGGTTTTGCATTTGCATTGTTTGCCAAAAAGTAGGGGAAGCTCTGATGGACCTTGTACAACGTTGTTCTTGCTCAGTTTCCCTTAGAAAACCAAGTGGTTAAAGATGGTGGTTTTGCTGCTGGAGGGTTTGGTTCACATTATGTAGGTATTTCAATTCTTAGAAGAGCTTTCTCATGGACGGCCTATGCTGAGCTGTTAATTAGAGATGTGAGCATTTTGAGATTTCTTTCAATTCTTATGAAATTAAAATGATCTTAAACATATATTTACACATAGGCAAAGTCTCTCAAACTTTGTGGCACCCAGAAGAATGTCCCATAGCTTCATACCTCTTCAGAGAAAAGCACCAGGGTTGGAAGAGGAGAGGAGGCCACCATGGTCAAAGGAGACCATCTCTGTCATCACATTCTAAGCTGCTCCACTGCAGGGTTTGAGATGCCTTAGCTTGGGTTTAATTGCCATCCAGAAGGGGCCAGACAGATGAAGGTTCAAATCCCTTCTCTACTGCTTATTCACTGGGTCACCTTGGGCACGTTACCTAACCTCTGGGTTTTAGCTCCTCTATCTGTAAAATGAGAATAATAATAACCACTATTTTGTTGGAATGTTGAGTAGGTTGAATAAGATAATGTAGGGAAAACACATAACTCCATATCGGACACATGGGAAACCATCAAAAAAGATCATTCTCTTATGTTTCAAAAGTCACTCAATGTTCAAGGGATTTTTAAGCCTTTGTCCCTTTCTCTGAATCATTGGGAAAAGAGAAATTAGATGGCTAAGAATATATTCTTTGGAAAACCACCAGTTGTCCTCTCTTGGTGCCCTTGGATTTGGACTTATAAGTCAAGTTTCTTTTAGTTATTAAAGAAAGTTACTGGATTTCACCTGCTTTCAGCATAGTAGTAATAGTAGAAATATGATATTTACTGAATGCATCAAAAGTTTATGTTGGGGCTAGGGGTGTAGCTCAGTGGTAGAGTATGTGCTTAGCATGTGTAAGGCCCTGGGTTTGAACAACAACAACACAAAGTTTATGTTCTGCTTTAAAAATGTTTTAGTGAAATGCCATAATGCACATGAATTGCCTGAGGAATTGGACCTTTTTATTTCCTTATATTAAGAGAAGTTCAAAAAAGGTTCTGCTCTCATTTTATTTCCATATATAGTTGTGGTATTGGGGAGGGGGAAGAAATGGGTAAGAAAAGGAAACTCTGACATCTCAACCCAGAGGATTCCAGATAAAACAATGGACCAGATACTGCTACATTTTTCAAGGGTTATCCAGATCTGGAAGCTTAAAGTAAGTTGCTACGAAATAAAGTACCCTGTAAGATGATAACATTAAAATCTCCTTTATCAGTTTGGTGACTTGGTGATTATAATTACAGGGATCTTGCCTAGCCATAATGGAGACTGAGGGGGGAAATCAGTATTGCGATGTATTCTTTATGATTTTGATATTTGTTCAATGTGAATTTTCACATTAATTTCTTTTTAAAAATATTTCATTAGACCATTGTTTATCTTGATGACTGAGTTCCTTTTTAACCTCTTAAAATCTTACTTACCTTATTCTAGTCTTGACCTTGATAATTACTACCATTTATTAAATGTGTCATTCCTAAGTGATTTGATGCATGATCTATTTTATGCTTCTGCATAAACCCATTTTATAGATGAGAAAACCTAGCCTTTCAGAGATTAAACAAGTATCGCATGTCACACAATCAGTGAATGGTTAAGACTGGACTTGAACACAGGTCTGTCCATCCCTAACACAGACTCATTCTCTAGCCATCACACACTGCACCACATGAGGAATTCACAGTATCCATTCATTCATTTGACACTTACTTTTTAGAACACATCTTGTGCTAGGAGAATAAAATGTTAAAGTCATTCATTCATCCATACATTCCACAAATATTTGTTGAGCCTGTGCGGTGGATACAGAAGAAGACAAGATAGACAGCCGTCAAGGGGATGGGGTGTGGAGGAGACTGTCAATAAACAAAGGAACAAAGTAGTTGTAATCTGGTAAACTCTAATTTGCCAGAATCAGAGTTGACAAAATATAAGAATTTTATCATCAAAGTGGATAATTAATATATTTTTGTAAAATGTAGGAATTCTCCAAGTGTACGATGTAAGGAAATTCACACAAGACATGGTGATGATGTGTCACCAAAATCGGGAATAAGTTGCTCTGTATACTTCGGTGGTACCAACAGTTATATGGAAGACTCAGGAGCAGTCTGTCTGTCTGTCTGTCTATCTATCTCCTCCACATGAGGATATAGTGAGAAGGTGGCCACCTTCACACTGGGAAGAGGCTCCTTGTCAGGAATTGTCTTCCAACTTTTTGATCTGGGGCTTTGTAGCCCTCAGAACTATGAGAAATAAATGTTTGTTATCTAAGCCACTCTGGCTATGGTGATTTGTTACTGCAACTTTAAACGAAAGACAAAGTATTTTTATTTTTTTAGTTGTTTTGGAAGATATCCCCATGTTTTCTAGAATTTCTTAAAACACACACACACACACACACACACACACAAGCACACACACAAGCACACACAAACTTGGGAAGATTCTAGAAAGAGAAATCCAGATGATAGTGGGTAGTTGTTAGGTCAGCTTTTTTACCACTGTGACTAAAAGACCTGATGAGAAAATTTTAGAGAAGAAAAAGTTTATTTGGTGCTCATGGTTTCAGAGGCCTTATTCCATAGACAGCCAACTCCATCGCTCTGGGCCCAAGATGAGGCAGAACATCGTGGAGGAGCAACAGGAAGCAGAGAGAGACACTGTAGACCAGGAAAAAAATATGCACCCCAAAGGTGCACCCCAGTGACCCACCTCCTCAAGCCACACCCCACCTGCCGAGGTGACCACTCAAGTAGTTTCTGTCAGGGGATTAATGCACTGATGAGACTAAGGCTCTCGTGACCCAGTCATCTCCCCTCTACGCTGTCTTTCATTTTCCCACACATGACCCTCTGGGGGACACCTCATAGCTACCAAAACAGTAGTATTCTAGATAGCCTCATGTTTTCATTCTGCCAACTCAGCCCACCATGTCCGTACCCACATGTCACACAGTCTCTCTCTATTGTCTTTGTCTCAATTATTTGTCTTTCAAGTCCTTATCACTACCCCACATATACACGCCTTATTTTGTTCTCAGACTCTTTTCTTACTCGCTGGAAGGTAAGCTGTGAAGGAAAAGAAATCTATCTGTTTTGTCTGTTGCTGGACAATTCCCCAATGTCTAGAAAAGTTTTGTCAGAAGAGGCAGTTAATTAATATCTTGAATAATGAATCTCATGGAAATCTTAGTTCTCCCACCCTCTCTCTTCCATGTCAGAGAGACAACTTGAAGCCTAGCTCCTCTCAAAGTCCTCTCAATCTTCCATCATGACTTTTCTCACCTGTAAAGTGGGGGTAACAGTGTTTCCCTCACTGAGTATTGTGACTAATGAATGAGATAATACATTTAGGATGTATGTGAGGCATTTAGGATATACCTTGACACATCACAATCCCCCCAAAATAAAAACTGTTTTCTTTTAAAAAAAAAAACATTATTATTGCTATTATTCAACAGCGATCCAGATTGCTTTTGCCTCCAATCTGAACAGGCAAAAGGACAGGAATCCCGATTGTGTCTGTTTGGACCTTCCAGTTAGAGGGTAAGCCATTTTTAAAGACAGATGTTATCTCCAGGGACTCTCTATATCCACAAATATAAAAGTTGAGGAGCAACACCGAGATATTAATTCTAGTGTCCATAATGTTTAACAATAAAACAAATTACTTCCACTCTTCTTAAAGCCTTCTGCTATCAAAAGGGGATGTGGGGAGGGGGTGACCTGGCAAGGGCATTCCTCAGCGGAGTGGGAGGGAGGTGCTTCTCCCACCTACTGCATCTCTGTGAGAATCAGACCTCAGTTTGGGGGAAATGGCACATTTCACAGTGACTGGCTTATAGATGTATCAGCCAAGGTTCTGAATTCAATTCAAAACCCCAATATAGGTTGGGACTTTACTCAAGTCTCTTGGTGAATATAGTCAGATACTGGCATTAAAAAAAAAAAAAGTTCTAGAAAAATAAAATTATGTCATTTGCAGGAAATGGACTGAATTTGGGAACATTAAGTTAAGTGAAATAAGCCAAACTTATAAGGTCAGGATTGTATGTTTTCTTTCATGTGTGGAAACTAGAGAAGAAAAAGGAAAATAAAAGTTGGGTGAGGGGAGGGATCTCATAAAAATCAAAGGAAAATCAGTAGAATAGAGCAAAGGGACCAGGGCTGGAAAGAGGGGAGGGGGTAAGGAAGAGCTGGAGAGTGACACTGACTAAATTATACTATTACATTGTGTGCATGTACACATATATAACAATGAATTCTATAATTGTGTACAACTTTAATGCAACAATAAAACAATAAAAACTAAAAATAATTACATTTTTTAAAAAGTCGTATGGGAATTAACAAACCACTTTATTTTATTTTTATTTTTTTTAGTTGTAGACAGACACAATACCTTTATTTTATTTATTTGTTTTTAGGTGGTGCTGAAGATTGAACCCAGTGCCTCACACATGCAAGGCAAACGTTCTACCAACTGAGCTACAACCTCAGCCCTTAACAAATTAATTTTTTTAAACAATTGTTCTGTGCTGTCTTTCCACAGTTTGGAACTCATCTTCATCATTCATATGAGGAAACCAGGGATAAAATACTTGGAAACACAATGAAACTCATCAGAAACTTTTATGTATTTTGTAATATTGTTATGTCAATAGAGGGCTTGGCCTCAAAGCTTCCAGAAGAAAAGGAATTAATTTCTAACTACTCCAATATGTCTCTAAAAAAGGTTCCCACAGACTTGACCCCATCCACAACCACACTGGATTTATCGTATAACCTCCTTTTTCAAGTTCAGAATTCAGATTTTCATTCTCTCTCCAAATTGAAAGCTTTGATTTTATGCCATAACAGAATCCAACAGCTGGATATCAAGATCTTTGAACTGAACCAAGAGTTAAGATATTTAGATTTGTCTTATAATAGACTGAAGACTGTAACTTGGTATTCGCTGGCAGGTCTCAGACATTTAGATCTTTCTTTTAATGACTTTGACACCGTGCCTATTAGTGAAGAGATTGGCAACATGTCTCACTTGGAAGTCCTGGGTTTGAGTGGAGCAAAAATACAAAAATCAGATTTCCAGAAAATTGCTCATTTGCATCTCAATACTGTCCTCTTAGGATTGAGAACTCTTTCTTATTATGAAGAAGGTAGCTTGCCCATCTTAAACACAACAGAACTTCACATCATTTTGCCAAGAAACACAAATTTTTGGGTTCTTTTGCATGATGGACTCAAGACTTCAAAAATATTAGAAATGACAAATATAGACTGCAAAAGCCAATGTGTGAATCATGAAACTCAACAGAATCTTATTTTAAAGAATGCCAAGACATCTATTCTGTTATTTAACAAAGTTGATTTACTCTGGGATGACCTCCTCCTTATCTTCCAATTTGTTTGGCATACATCGGTGGAATACTTCCAAATCCAAAATATAATTTTTGGAGGGAATGTTTATCTTGACCGCAATTCATTTGACTACTCAAATACTGTAATGAAAGCTATAAAATTGGAGCATGTACATTTCAGAATTTTTAATATTCCACAGGATAGAATGTACTTGCTTTTTACAAACATGAATATAGAAAACCTGACAATATCAGATGCACAAATGCCACACATGCTTTTTCCTAATTATCCTGTAAGTTTCCGATATTTAAATTTAGCCAATAATATCTTAACAGATGACCTGTTTAAAAAACCCACCCAATTGCCTTATTTGAAAACTCTCATTCTGGAGGGCAATAAACTGGAGACACTTTCCTTAGTGAGTAGCTTTGCTAACAGTACACCCTTGATGCACTTGGACCTGAGCCAAAATCTATTACAACATAACAAGGATGAAAATTGCTTTTGGCCAGAAACGTTGATCACCATGAACTTGTCATCCAATAAATTTGCTGATTCTGTTTTCAGGTGTTTGCCCAGAAGTGTTCAAATACTTGACCTGAATAATAACCAAATTCAAACTGTCCCTAGAGAAAGTATTCACCTGAAGTCTTTACGAGAGCTAAATATTGCATTTAATTTTCTGACTGATCTCCCCGGGTGCAGTCATTTCAGCAGACTCTCAGTTCTGAACATTGAAATGAACTTCATTCTCAGCCCATCCCTTGATTTTTTCCAGAGCTGCCAGGAAGTTAAGAGTCTAAATGCAGGAAGAAATCCATTTCGGTGTACTTGTGAATTAAGAGATTTCATTCAGCTTGAAAAATATTCAGAGGGCATGATGATTGGATGGTCAGATTCATACATCTGTGAATACCCTTTGAATCTAAGGGGGACTCGGTTAAAAGATGTTGATCTTCCTGAATTGTCTTGCAACACAGCTTTGTTGGTTGTCACCATTGTGGCCATCATGACCATTCTGGGGGTGACCGCGGCCTTCTGCTACCTTCGCTTGGATCTGCTTTGGTACCTCAGGATGTTAGTTCAATGGGCACGAACCTGGCACAGGGTTAGGAGGACAGCACAAGAACAACTTAAGAGCAATGTCCAATTCCATGCGTTTATTTCCTACAGTGAACATGATTCTCTCTGGGTGAAGAATGAATTGATCCCCAATCTAGAGAAAGAAGATGGTTCTGTTTTGATTTGTCTTCCTGAGAGAAACTTTGACCCTGGCAAGAGCATTGCTGAAAATATCATAAGCTGCATTGAGAGAAGCTATAAATCCATCTTTGTTTTGTCCCCCAATTTTGTCCAGAGTGAGTGGCGCCATTATGAACTCTATTTTGCCCAACACACTCTCTTCCATGAAAGGGCTGATCGCATCCTTCTTATCTCACTGGAACCTGTTCCATTGTACTGCATTCCTACCAGGTTCCATGAGCTGAAAGCTCTCATGGAAAAGAAGGCATGCTTGGAATGGCCCAAGGATAGATGTAAATGTGGGCTTTTTTGGGCAAATCTTCGAACTGCTATTAATGTTAATTTATCAGACACTGGAGAAGGGAGTGAACTACAGACATTCTCAGAGCTGAATGAAGAGTCCCGAGGTTCTACAATATCTCTGATAAGAACAGATTGCTTATGAAACTCCACCTCTGTAGGGAAATTGGGGATCATAAACGCTGTTGGGATATAAATGGATACAATCTTTATGATGGTAATTTGTCAATACCTACTAAAATGAAAAATCATTATTCCCTTCATGTCATTTCCTAGAAAAAAATTTTAAAAACATATTCTCTGGGGGTTGGAGTTGTGGCTCAGTGGTAGAGTGCTTGCCCCAGCATGTGTGAGGCACTGGGTTCAATCCTCAGAATACGTTAAAAAATTAATTAATTAATTAGAGTTAAAAATATGTTCTATAAAATGCCTGTACAAGTTTGTAATTTTTATGTAAAAAGGTGTTTATCACAGCATTTTTTTATAACCATGAAAAGTTGAAAAGCTTCCCAAATATTCACAAAATAAGGGTTGATTCAATAAACTCTAGTATACCCATGTAATAGGATATTAAATAGCCATTATTGTATTGAGAAAATTATATTAATATGTTAGTTTATACATTGAAATAAAGGTTTAAAATAACCTGTATCAGCATACTGATATAGTAGTCATGGTTTGGGTCTAGAAGTTTGGATTACAGGAATTTCTATGTTGTGTATATCTGTAATGTTTGAATTGCTTAGAATGAATCTGTATTTCTTCTGCAAGTTAAAAAAATAATTTTTTTTAAAGCCTACACATCCTACTCATTTTGTTTGATTCTTCTCTTCTTGTCTCACAATTCACAGGAAAGAAACAAGCACTTCTCAATTTTGCAAAATCGTATTTCAGAAACAACGTTACTTCTCTGGTTTGAAAATTCTTGTAGTTTGTTTACCCACATGTAACAGGGGAAAAGTTGTATGAACATTTAAGATTGAAACCATTCTCCTCTTATCTCCCTGCATCCAGGGCTCAGTCATTGAGCTCTGTTGAGTCATTTGCCCTTTCTGGGACAATCAGCCTTCTTTGTGCCCCAGACTAGAGAGTGCGTCTGGCATCATGCCTGCCTGGAATGGCTTGTTCAGGAAATCTTACATTTCCTTCAAGACACAATACAAAAGTCAACCTTTCTTGGAAAACTTCCTCAATCCTTCCAGTAAGCATGATACTCCTTCATTCTTTTTAACACTTTGGACATATTTCTATCAGCCAACTCATTATAGACCTCTTTAAAGTCTCCATTTCTCACCAGGCTATGAACTCCCAAAGGCCATCTGCCCCAGTATCAGCAGCAGTTTGCACAATTCTTTTTTTCAGAAAAGGTGCCTGCTGAATGCTTAAGGAATGAGTTTGGGTTGGTTGAGGATCTTAGTGGGACACAACTGGCTTCAGGATAGATGGTGGGCTTTGAAGTCAAATCCCGAGAAGCCGGGAAAGAAGAGAAGGAATAGGTTAAACTCAGGCAAAAGAAAGAGAATCAAGAATTGAAGGATTCCTGAGTATAGAATGCATCCCTTGAAATTGCCAAATTGGGTTGCTCTTGACCTACAAAGATACCTGGTTTTCATCTCATTTACTCTAATAAAATTGATCTATTGAGCAGGTTAAAACTGCATTCTGCATCTACTTATTTCCTTACAGTTTGTACTCATAAGAATTCCTCATGCTAAGTAGTTTTTTTTTTTTAATTGTATTCTAGATGGTCAACCTGAGAGTATGGGGAAAGGGCTGAGTGTCAGTCTAGAAGCCAGGTTATGACACCATCTGGCCAGAAGCCAGAGTTGAGGAGCCAGAGGTCAGCAGACTTGAAGCTGAGCACCTCCTGCGCCTGCCTGATGAGCCCATGGTCTGTCTGGCAGAAGGGGAAAGACAAGGAAATCGCAGTGGCTGAAGGCAGAGCCTGGGGACAAGGCCTTTCCTGGGCTGGGCCCCGACAGGAGTGTGATTCCTGGCTTCTCAAGAAGTGAGACAGAGACCATATGAGGGTTTGTAAATCTTGAGTAAAATACTCAACACGAGATGAAGTGATTTGGATCATACAAAGAAGGTAACATTAGCCCTAAACTCACCAGAATTCAGTTATTTCATGATAGAATCCTCAGTTTAGTAATCCAGCTTTAACAGCAGAGGTGTTCTATTACAATTTAAAAAAAACATTAGACTTAGCTTTCAGAACTTCTGTTTTCAGAAGCTGGACAAAGGCAGCTTTCATTCAGAGTTGGCTTTAAGGATGTGGGGTGGGGATTCCTCAAATCTTACCCATTATATGTTCCTTTCTCAGAAACTCAGATACTATCTAGCTTCCTAATATTCTTGGTTTTGACTGTTAGGTACTCAGAAAAAAATAGATTTTGCATGAGTTGAATGTTATTTGCTTTTGGGGCTTGAGACACTGTAGCTCAGCAGTAGATTGTTTGCCTAGCATGTGTGAGGCACTGGGTTGGATCCTCAGCACCACATGAAAATAAATAAATCAAATAAAGGTACTGTGATCCTCTACAACTAAAATACATATAATGTATACTATATATAATTGTAGATGCCTACCTCATGCAAACCTAATGATGTAATTCCATCCAAGGAATTTCAGATTTCAGTAATGAGCCATTCTGCTGAATCATGAGATGAGCATCCATTCCCTCATGCTCTGATCAGGTCTGGAAAATGGCTTCAGATCTTATGTACTTGGAATTTTCTTGTTATTTCTTGCCATGTGTCCATCTGGAGCTTCTTCCATTTTTTCCCCCCTCAAGGAGCCTGAACTCTGTATCCGTATGGTAGAAGTCGTTCTGTGGATTCCCAGGGGGCCTTCACGCTCACTGAGCATCTCTGCAGATGGATGGCAGCATTTCCTGTGTGTCAACATCTGAGCTGAGAGGGGTCTACATCCTTTGAATAAATATGGAAGATGGGACTGTTCTGAAATGGAATTGTCATCTTCAAATTCCAAGCAGATCGGCAGGGAACAGCAGTTTTAAACCTGACTTATGGCAAATGTTCCCTAAGTTTCATTCCTCTGTCTCCCATAATGAATCACTCAAGAGAAGTAGAGCCTGGGGGAATTTGAAATGAGTGAGAATTTAAAAAATTACCAAGCCTAACTCTCAGTTTCAAATGAAGAAATTAAGACTTTCAAATTTTAAATGATTCGCCCAAGCCCAAGGTCAAACATTTGCCTTTTAACTCCTAGACCAATGCTTTTGCTTACAAAGTCCATAGCAAACTGTGGCTACCTTTTGTAGCCAAAGGTAGGGTCATTCAGGTTCAGGGTCAGAGTTAGGGAGGTTGGTTGGAAGCTTCTGGTCAATACAACTTCAGACAGAGGCTCTATATGTCTGTCTTGTCAAAATGAAAATGACTCTTCTTCAGAATATGTTTTGATGGTGGTGTCCACGTTACCTCAAGAGTAACCATTCTAACAGTGCCCATATATTCTAATAATTCGTTTGAAATATTCAAATGAAAATCCAATGAAAGTGATTTTGAATCCTCACATATTTTCCTAGGACACTTCAACATTCCCTCTGCTATCCAAATCTTTGCTCCAAGCACATAACCCTGTGAAGATTTCCTAGGCAACATAATTGAAAATTATAATTATCAATGGCCATTTTTTTAAAAATCAATTTTCCTGCTTTTTTTCTCCATAGCATTTCCCACCTTCTGAATCACTATGTAATTTTTCTGTTTATTCTGCATTTTCTCCACTTCCCCCACCAGAATGCAAACTCAAAGCAGAAATTTTTGTCTGTTTTGCTCAGGAATTTTGTCTGCATCTCTGCCTAGAATAGTCCTTGGCACACTGCCACCCCCCAAGTATTCTCCGAAGGAAACAGAGTTCGTGGACCCTCTGCTGACCCTCTGCTCTTCTGAAGTCCAGCAGAGCTCCGGCTGCCAAAGCCACCCACTCCAGTGTCGGCCTCTGATGTGAACCAGGGGTACAGATTGGACTGGAGGACACTCCTCCCTTTCAGTAAGTGTTCTTCTTGCTGGATCTTTCTGGGACCTGCCATCGTTGGCCCTCTGTCTCTCCTCCACCCCACACATGCTCATGACTCTTCACTTCCTCCTTGAAGCTGGTGGATCTCAGGGGCTTGCCCTTGAACTATTTCAGAGTCTGCAGATTACACAAATCACCACAAATGGGGTGTATGGCTGCCCCCTGCCAACCACTGTCCATGTTCTTCTTCTTGTGTCAGCCTTTCTAGAGGAGAAGGGGCAGTAGTGGGCCAGCAAAGCCTCTGCCACAGGACTGCACCTCTGTGCTTTGGAGGCCTTCCTTGAATTTTCTAAGCCCTTATCATAGCCTGGGACTTGCCAGGACTGGCTGTGTTCTCCAGACAGGAGACTCCTGGCTCAGACCAGACCCACACCACAATGATCTCTGTCTTCCTCTGTCAAGATGCTTCTGACCCTGAACATTGTGTCAATCAGATATCCCAACCAGCTCTGGGACTCCAACCATGGAATCTCCTCACAGGTTGGTGGTTGGGCCTTCAATTAAGGTGAGCAGTCGGGCAACTAGGTTATTCCTGCTGGCACCGCGGTGCAGTGTGGGACCTCCTGAGACTGAGCAGATGGCACTGACATTCTGATTTGGCGGTTACTTCAACTTGAACACAAGATGGCTGCAGGACTCGGTTACCAACAGTTCACCACCAAACCTTGGGTTCGAGTCACCAGTGTGGGCTTGTGTCCATCTGTGTCTCGACTGTGGGTGGCATCACTGCCTGTCTTCAACACTTGATGGTGGCGGGATGTGCCATCACGCCCTGCAGCCACTGGCACTCAAGCCACCCCTACTGCAGGCTCTGAACCAGGCCAGACAGTCCTCTGAGGATGGCTTCAAGTCTGAGCACTGACTGTCCTTCCAGTCAGGGTCTCTCTTGCTCCCCACGGGTGGGAACTGCTCATTCTCCCTCCACGTGTGGACCCCTGGCCTTCCATCCTTGCTGTTGGAGGTATGTGGAAGTCAGGGGTTTCGTCACCTCTGAAAGAGCTCCCCTTCTAGGACTGCAGTGACGACCCCCTCAAGAGCCCAAGAGGACACGTGGCTGGAAGATGGGTTGCTCTGTGGGCACGCTGTGGCATTTTGGCTGGTGAGCTTAACAGGACCAGAAAG